TTAAGAAGAAACTGGACAGCCATTTGTCCGAAATGGTATAGGGTTTCCTGCCTGAGCAGGGGGTTGGACTAGATGACCTCCAAGGTCCCGTCCAACTTGATGATGATGATGATGATGATGATGATGATGATGATGATGATGATGAAGATGATGATGATGATAAATCACATTCACCAATTATTTCAAAACACTGGCTCTCCTCCCAACTTTCAATCCTCAAAACTTTATCTAACATTGACCTTGATTCTTTCACCGTTGCAACTGTTATGGCTAATTGAATTAGCATTGAATGCACAAGCATTCCCCCTTCCCCCCTTCTCCATCTGTGAATACGAAACAACAGAAAAAAGCAGAATGAAGCAAAAGGTAAAATGGCTACAGTTTCTCAGTTGTTACAGCACTGACATTGGGTTGTAAATCATCTGGTCTTGGCAATTTGAACTCCTCTATAGTGCCTTACGATTTTCTTGATTATTTTGACTTTGCATTCCTAATCTGCATTTTACTTTTTGGGGAGGATTTTTTTTTATTTATTTATTTTAAGAGAGATGCAAAAAATGAGTCGAGGAATTCTGCTTTCTCTTTGCTCCTCATCACTGTGTTGCCATTTTCTCCCATTAATGGATCCCTTGTTTCCTTGATTTTTTTTCTTCTTTTTACATGGGGACAGAAGAGGGGATTTTTCTTCTTGTTGTTGTTTTTAACTTTGGTTGTAAGCCTTTGTTGATTTTGAGCTTTAGCTTTCCTGACTTCATCTTTGCAGGTTTGGGCTACCTGCTGATATTCTGTCTTAGTTATGTGCCCTCTTTACACTTTTTATACTTGTCCTTTTTATCTTTCAATTTATCAGAGAATTCTTTGCACAGCCATGCTGGTTTCTTTTCAGATCTTTTATTTTTCTTCTTCATTGGTATTGTGCTATACTGGCCTTTTATAATGCTATTTTTTTGAAGTTTTCCAAGCTTCATGGATTGTTTTCCCCTTCAGGATTTCCATCCATGGAATCCTTCTCAAGCACTCTCTAAATTTGTTGAAATCATGTCTCTTAAAGTCCAAGAATCTAATTTGTTTTTTTTATTCCTTGTGCTTGCATTATGTTTAATTCCAATATTGCATGGTGATTCCCCCCTCTCAGGATTCCTGTAACGTCAACCAGTGTCTTAAACTTCAAAAGAGCTGATTTTAAAAACAGTCATGAATCACATTCTCCAATTATATCTCAATTTGCTGATGCCTAGTATGTCAGTCTGTAGTGGTTTCATTCCATCTTTTATGGTGTGGGGCTTCCCCATCTTCATACTGCTTTTGTTCCCTTCCTGACTCTTAAATTAGGACAATGTCCCTGAGTTATGAAAAACTCTATTCTCCATTTGCATGCCTCTGTGGCAACATTCCTTTCCAATTCCCCTTCTAATTACTACAATCATGGTTATTTATTCTGTTTTCAATAAAGTTGATGCTATTTTTACCACCACAATTAGTTTAAAGCAACATGACAGCACAACACAAAGGGATATACCATAGATGAATATCTGATCTGTAAACTATCTTCAGCACTACTGAGAGAAGAGGTAGAATCATGCAAGGGCTATGCTAGTCTGCTATTGCAGGTTTGTCTTCCAGATCTGGAGCCAACCTGGACTATCTTCACTGCAGTTGTGTTTGGGAGCTCTGAGCTCTTTCCCAGAGGGAGAACTAGAGGAAGGATCTCCATCAATATACGACAAAGCTCTTTCTGTTTCTGATTCTGTCCCAATTTTCTTGTGCCACAGTTTAATTACTATAAGCCGGGAGAGTACCTCATTACTGGTATAACATCTAAAATACATCAAGAAAGTGAAGCTGTAAGTCATCTTCCTTGTTCCAGTGTGATTTATTGGCCAACCAATAAAAGAGCCGAGGTGGCGCAGCAGTTAGAGTGCAGTACTGCAGGGCACTTTAGCTGACTGTGTTCAGCAGATCAGCGGTTCAAATCTCACCGGCTCAAGGTTGACTCAGCCTTCCATCCTTCCGGGGTAGGTAAAATGAGGACCCAGATTGTTGGGGGCAATGTAAAATATATATATATACATTGCTTACTGGTGTACACCGCTTAGAGAGTGCTTGCACTTAAAGCGGTATATAAGTCTCATGAATAAATAAATAAACCACACCAGAAAAAAAGAGCCATCAGATATTCTCAGAGAATCCTTCAAATTCATAAATTAAAATTCTACAGTGCTAATCACAAACCATACATATAGGAATATTTTTGAAAATGCAAACATCCTTTTACATTTATAGTCTTTAATATCAAAATATATCTGATGCTGACTCCTTAATAAGTTATTACCCAAGGAACTAGATTGGGAAAATCTGTTGACCTTTTGTAGCACAAGGAGGATGAGATGGCTCCCCTCCTTATCATGTGGGTTCTTTCTCCAAAGGAATTTAGTTTGCTGGATCCTTGTTGGGACCCCATACCTGCCATGGCTGCAGCCTTGGAGCCTCCAATGTGTCTTGGACCTTCTTCCTTCTCCTCCAGAATCTGGATAAATATGCAGCCTTCAAAGTATGGGCCAGAGTCATAAATATAATGTGATCAGAGTCATTGTTTTCAATCTGGATGCTGCCCCTTTTCTCTTGAGTCTCCATTATTGCTTTTTGACTGCATCTTTTCCTGGCTTTGACAGAAAATATATGTTTTGAAAAAGAACAGCGAAATGATTGCTGTACAAACTGTGGATCTAGAGAGAAATAGGGTTCAAAAGCACCATATTTTGGACTATATTTTTGCAGAAAATCAAAGCTCCAGATACTATGGAGGTATTCAAGATAGTCATGATGATACATCAAATATTTTCCCAAAGTTGTGGTGATCCAGACTTTCCCTTCAATGGGTTTTGATAAATCTTTAAGTGTTAAATGAAAAGTACGAAATGTGCTTGAAACGATAACATATTCTGTGAAGTGAACAAAGACATTGACTTGTTTCCACTTAGAGCTGGAACCCCCCAGGGGTGCTTGATAAAGAGTCATGGGAATTTGTTGTGATATAACAACACAAATTCCATTCCTGACAAGCAAAGGAGGAAAACTCCTTAGGAAATTATCTCCCTTTTCTGTTTCTGGAGCAAGGAGACCAATCAAGGTCCATCTGAAATGGAGGAGCAGTTGGACAATTGCTGGGTACTGAAACCCCTCTTTGGGGAGCATCCGGTGGAAAAAAGGGAATTCTTTTTTATCACTCAGAATCTCTGAAGCAATTTTATCCCTGATCTGAAAAAGCAATGAAAAATGCTGAAGTTTGTTTTGACGAACATATTTGAATAGTTTGTTGATTAGTTATTGCGTAAAATATTAAACAGAATATTAACAAAACTGTATATAAAAAATGGAATACAAGAAATAAACTAAGTGTATTAGAATAATAATAAAAATGCAAATCATATTTCTCTATTACCCCTACAATTTACCACAAATAAAATCAAATATGGAGATGTTAACTTAAGTATATTGTTCCAATAAAGGGCAATGTTATATGTAATGTTTGAAGATCTGCTACATCTTTCTTCACTTTTATATCCAAGATTCTTTGGGCAGCAATTTTTGTTAAACCTTCTTCTCCAGTTGTACAAGAGACAGGGAGAGCACAGCTCTTCATATAATTTGTCAGTTGTATAATCCAAGAGGTCTTTAATTGAAATTCTGTCTGTTTTAACAGACACAATTTTGGGTTTCTATAAATTTAACTTTACAACAATAATTATATGCCTTGATTTTAGAAAATTGTGTAAATTCCAAATTCATCTCTTATGGGAGCAACTGAAGTCCTTGGGACTGACTCCCAAGATACTTCTCAAATGCTGTCTTTGAGTTTGTTTAAAGCCCCAAACACAAGCTCAGTGTAAGAACATGGAGGTAACATGGGCCTTATAACCTCTAATAATTGAAAGCTGAATAACTATGAATTTTTAATTTAAACAGCAGATTCACTCATGTCCTTGCTCTAAATGAGCTCCTTTAATGATGAGGTTCTTGCCCTGTTATCTGGGAATAGTTTGACTCTGTTGCTCCTGAGGAAGTGGGTCATGCCCAGGAAAAGGAGAGCATGCAAGGCCAGGAGGGATGGGACAGGGGGAGAGAAACCAGCCATGCCGGGATGTATCCGGCCACGTGGGACCTCGGCGAGTTAGTGGACGGCTGGTTGAAGAGGGACGTTGCCATCTCTGGGGCATGGTGTGCGTGCCCACAGAGAGGGCTCTGAGTGCTGCCTCTGGCACGCATGCCATAGGTTCACCACCACTGCCTTATACCATTCCTACAAGAGCATAAAGACCTAGTTCTGCCAGTTGGTTTGGTGCCCCAATGGGTTAATAATGGGCAATAATGGATCAATAGCAGATTCCACATTCCCCTCCCTCTCTTTCCCATCTTATAGTTATAGTTGGTAATCTTTTAATTTTATTGCATTTTTAGTTGTTATTACATATGTGTTTTTGTATAGTTTTATCACTTTTAATATTGTAAGTTGCCCAGAGTCATCTCACAGTGAGATGGGTGGCAAACAAATTTAATACATAAATAAATAAATAAATAAATAAATAAATAAATAAATAAATAAATAAATCCTGCTTGTTCTTCAGTTACAAATTCTTTGTTCATCTACCTACTATCAACTCTACTCAAGAGGATCTGAGCATTGATTTTAGGCACAATATCTATTTGACCAATGGGACAATAATCACTAGGATGCTTGTTATACCCTTTTTAAAATAGAAAATATTATTCCCCAAAACTATAGGGGGGTAAATCTACCTGCCAATAGTGGGACTCACAACCTGGAATATTCATTGAATAGTTCAGCTATTCATTGAATAGTTCAACTATTCATTGAATAGTTCATTGAAAGTCATCTCCAGGGGTTTTAATGTTCTTCAAGCCTTTCATTTGATTATGAGTACATTAGAATAAAAGGTTGTTGGCTGATAGCCTTGTAACTTTTTAAATAAAGTGGTTAATTACTGATAGCGATCACTCTGAGTCTATAAGACATATTTATGTTTTATCAATTATAAGTAAGACTGAGAATCTTTTCATAAGTATGGGACTTGTTCAGCATTGAAAAATATCATTTTTTCCCTCTAAGATTATGTACAAAATATGAGCTTTTCATCAGCGCTTTATCTTCCTATTGTACAGAATGGGTTTTTGATTGAACAGAGAGCCTTTCCTCATCTTTACAAGTGTGCAACAGAAGTCCTCAAAGCAATAGGGATGGTGTCATGAGAACATATGTCTGTTTTGAACCATGCTCCCATCCTAATGTTATCTCAAATATCCAGCCATGATACCTACAATGGCCATAATCAAAAACAGCTCTTGAATTCCAGAGAAAGATGTGGCTGGATCTATCATGCACCCATTACCACCCAACTAACTTTACCAGGTACAAAAACCAACACACCTGTGGGACTTTATAGGTGCCTACTAATGTAGACATCTGGATGGAGATCTCCCTGTCAGCTGCATCAATAAGAACCAAAAGGTTGTCCTTCCTTCCACAGCTGTAGTTAGGAACATTGGCTTTTCCAGTAGAGAGCATGTCCAGCAAGGCATCTGAAGTGCCAAGTGGGTTCAAATAGTTCTCATGTATGTTGTACCCAAATGTGAGATTATTCAGGAGCTGGAGTTTCTGGTTGACCACTTGAGTGGTGAAAATGAAGCATTCTTTTCCCCTGTTATCATAAGGTACTCTATTGTAAAAAATAATGTGTTCCAGTTAGTATCAGCATAATCAATGTCAATCATCAAATATCTTTTTTTTCAACTTCATCCCCTTTGCCAACATATGACTATTGAGTCTGAAGCAAATACTCACCCAAAACCAGAGGCAAATGACCCACCAACATTAAATATTTGTGAATATTGAGAAATTGGAAGGGAGATAGTCCTCCACTAAGGCTAAGAATCACAAATAGTCCATCATTTCTAGCAGTATCATAAGGAAATGGATATTTCATAACTGACCAAAAAATCATTCTAAATTCAAGTCATTCTCTATTCCTATAAAAATCAGCTATTGAATTAAATATCAATGAGTGGTTATAAAAATATGGAAATGAGCTGGTCAAGGGAAACTACAACAATTGCCCCTTTAAATCATGAATTCCTTAATTTGTTGGAGAAAGGAAAATAACGTGGATTTCTTCCAGGTATTTTTTATGTCCTGTCTTTGCATTTGTGTCTCTTCCTTGAAGTGTTGTGAAATGCTGTGGACATAATTTACTTGGGCTTCAGTTAGCATTTGATAAAGAAGACCACAACCTACTACTTGAGAAGGCAGAAAATAAGGGTTAGACAGCATCACCACCAGATGGATTCATAACTGGCTGACCAACCACACTCAACATGTCATTCTTCCATTCTGTTACAGTATATTTCTGTTATATTTCAAAAAACGACAGAAGAGGGAACTCATCAAAATCAGATTCAAGAAATTAGTTAGTTCCTGCAATATAGGAGCAAGTAGAATAAAAAGGGTGTTAGAAATGCAGATGGAGGGAATACAACTCTATCACACTGAAAGACTTACAAGTAAGACTCACTGTAAGGAGCCATGTTGAAATTCAAAATTTTATGCCCCATAGTAAATGCACTGGTGACTATACTAATGAGATGGTCTCCTGACCTATAGTAACTCCATGGTCTTTTTTCATCCAGGTGCTCCAAATTCAGTGGGCACTTCATTCTAAGCTTTCCAGAGGCTGGCTGGGACATCAGCAGCACCAGCACCAGCAGTAGCAGAAACAGGGGGTCCATAATTCATGGGGCTGAATCAATCCCCTGTTTTCAAAGATGAGTTAGATGAATTCAATGCACTCTCACAACATGGAATAGCCAATGGCTTTCCTCTTCCAAACAGAGACAAGCCGAGCTTCATGTGGAAAGGAGAGACTGTGCCTTCAGCAGCACAGTCCTTGCCTGTGTCCTAAATGTTGTGTAAACCATTCAGCATGAGTAGAAGCTTTTATCTTTCTCTTTGATGCAAGATCCATTCCATGTTGCTTCTACCTATAACAAAGGCAGTCACTGGAGAAGTTTCAGTAGGTATCTCAAAGTCTGGGATCGTGATAATTACTGTAAGTGATAATTTGTGCTCTGGGGCTTTTGAATCTCTTCCAGGACTCCATGTATAGAGGGGGCAGCTGGAGCAAAGCATGTCGCAGATACATCCCTGGGGAACCTCTTCTACAATGGTTGTCATCCTTCCTGTCAGGACATGTCCAGAAAGTGATGCTGGAGGAAGATACTTCAATATCCAGGGAACTGACTTCTGAAATCTTCCATTGTGGTACATTGTCTCCAGAAACTGCTGGGGAAGAACACCTGGAGCTATGGAGTTTTGTTCCAGTGTAGTGGTGCTCTAGTGCTCCTTGTCTTCTTAACACCAAAGAATCACCTTTGAACCCTGCCTAATAGTAAGAGTGGGTCCTCCCTCAAATTTTCTTTTCTATGAGATCTCTATACAGTGGGGCAAAAAAGTATTTAGTCAGCCACCAATTGTGCAAGTTCTCCCACTTAAAAAGATGAGAGAGGCCTGTAATTGTCATCATAGGTAGACCTCAACTATGAGAGACAAAATGAGAAAACAAATCCAGACAATCACATTGTCTGATTTGGAAAGAATTTATTTGCAAATTATGGTGGAAAATAAGTATTTGGTCAATATCAAAAGTTCATCTCAATACTTTGTTATATATCCTTTGTTGGCAATGACAGAGGTCAAACGTTTTCTGTAAGTCTTCACAAGGTTGGCACACACTGTTGCTGATATGTTGGCCCATTCCTCCATGCAGATCTCCTCTAGAGCAGTGATGTTTTGGGGCTGTTGCTGGGCAACACGGACTTTCAATTCCATCCAAAGGTTTTCTATGGGATTGAGATCTGGAGACTGGCTAAGCCACTCCACGACCTTGAAATGCTTCTTCCGAAGCCACTCCTTTGTTGCCCTGGCAGTGTGTTTGGGATCATTGTCATGTTGAAAGACCCAGCCACATTTCATCTTCAATGACCTTGCTGATAGAAGGAGGTTTGCACTCAAAATCTCATGATACATGGCCCCATTCATTCTTTCCTGTACACGGATCAGTCGTCCTGGTCCCTTTGCAGAGAAATAGCCCCAAAGCATGATGTTGCCACCCCCATGCTTCACAGTATGGTGTTCTTTGGATGCAACTCAGCATTCTCTCTCCTCCAAACACGATGAATTGTGTTTCAACCAAACAGTTCTACTTTGGTTTCATCTGACCATAGGACATTCTCCCAATCCTCTTCTGGATCATCCAAATGTTCTCTAGCAAACTTCAGACTGGCCCAGACATGTACTGGCTTAAGCAGGGGGATACGTCTGGCACTGCAGGATCTGAGTCCCTGGCGGCATAGTGTGTTACTGATGGTTGCCTTTGTTACGTTGGTCCCAGCTCTCTGCAGGTCATTCACTAGGTCCCCCCATGTGGTTCTGGGATTTTTGCTCACCGTTCTTGTGATCATGTTGACCTCACGGGGTAAGATCTTGCGTGGAGCCCCAGATCAAGGGAGATTATCAGTGGTCTTGTATGTCTTCCATTTTCTAATTATTGCTCCCACAGTTGATTTCTTCACATCAAGCTGCTTGCCTATTGCAGATTCAGTCTTCCCAGCCTGGTGCAGGTCTACAATTTTGTTTCTGGAGTCCTTCAACAGCTCTTTGGTCTTCACCATAGTGGAGTTTGGAGTGTGACTGTTTGAGGTTGTGGACAGGTGTCCTTTATATTGATAACAACTTCAAACAGGTGCCATTAATACAGGTAATGAGTGGAGGACAGAGGAACCTCTTAAAGAAGAAGTTACAGGTCTGTGAGAGCCAGAAATCTTGCTTGTTTGTAGGTGACCACATACTTATTTTCCACCATAATTTGCAAATAAATTCTTTCCAAATCAGACAATATGATTATCTGGATTTGTTTTCTCATTTTGTCTCTCATAGTTGAGGTCTACCTATGATAACAATTACAGGCCTCTCTCATCTTTTTAAGTGGGAGAACTTGCACAATTGGTGGCTGACTAAATACTTTTTTGCCCCACTGTATATTATATATTAGTCATAAATTAGAAGTGATTTTAAAATTCTTTCTACCTGAGGTGAAGTTTGTTATTTTCCATCTGTTCTAGAAATATAAATTTGTAGATGAGAGCTGATGAAGAAGCAGAAAACTGACACTGACATATCAGCACATCATACCTGAAAACCTCTGCAGGTAATTAAAGGTCAAGAAGGCAGGGAGGAAAAGGATAAGTACAAACAGTGCTTTTTTTGTAAAAAAAAAAAAAAGTGCTGGAACTCACACATGTCATACAACCCGCCTTGCCTACCCTACAAGGTTCCATCCAAAAAAGGTGCCGGAACTCCGTTCTGGGCGTTCTATGACAAAAAAAAAAAAAAGCCCTGAGTACAAAACACTTCTGGGCAAGGAGGAAAGAGATAAACTTTCAAGGCAGGGAGTGGAGGATTAAGAGCAAAGAATCTCCTAAAAAACAGTCAGAGATTTCCAGCAAAAAGAAGTGCATGTCACTTCATAAAGGGCCAATAAATTTTGTATTTTTTTTTTCATTTTTAAAATCTCTGAATTTTAAAAAAAATATTTTCAAATTTTTACTTTTTATTTTTAAAATTTTCAATTTCTTTTTCTAATTTTTATATTCTTTTTTCAATGTTTTAAAATTCTTTTTTCAATGTTTTCAATTTCTTTTTTCAAGTTTTCAATTTTTTTCAATTTTAAATGTTTTTTTCAATTTTTCAATTTCTTTTTTCAGTTTAAAAAATTTGAAAAAATATTTATTTTAATTCTTTAGACATTTTTAAATTCTTAACGATCTAAGAGGGAAAAATCACAGAAAAAAAGACTGACACTTCAAAACAGGGAAGATAGTGATGAATTTTCAAGGCAGAGAATAAAGGTAAGGTGACCAACTTTTTTACAATGAAAAGGAGGATACAAATAAAGAAGAAAAAAAATATTGTAAATAAAAGAAAACATTTTATTCATCGCAACAATAATACAGACAACTTGCATGTGCAAAGTTTGCCAGCCGAGTGTTTTGGCGTGTTGAGCAGCAATTCCTATTGGCTTTCGAAAGCCAGTAGTGGGGTAGCACAGTTCATGCAAAAGTTGAAAACAAAACCCATCAAAAAAAGGTGCTGGAACGCCGTTCTGAGTGTTCTATGAGGAAAAAAAAGCCCTGCAGATTAGATTTCAAATATCGAAAAGGAGGACATGAAGGAGGACACTTTCTGAGGGAGGACAGAACTCACAAAAGGAGGACTATCCTCCCGAAAGGAGGACGGTTGGTCACCTTAATAAAGGGCCAAGAACTTTTGTAAGCTCTTGTAAACTGACACTTCACAACAGGGAAAATATTTAATTTTTAGAAAATTTTAATTTTTCAGTGAACTAAAAGTCAGATGAGACCAAAATGAAGCTCTTTGGCATCAACTCAACTTGCCATGTTTGAAGGAGGAAGACTACTGCTTATGACCCCAAAAACACCATCTCCACCATCAAACATGGAGGTGGAAATATTATGCTTTTTGGTGTTTTTCTGCTAAGGAGACAGGACAACTTCAGCACGTCGAAGGTACGATGGATGGGGCCATATACCATCAAATCTTGGGTGAGAACCTTCTTCCCTCAGCCAGGGCATTGAAACTGGGTCGTGGATGGATAGTCAGCATGACAATGACCCAAAACACATGGTCAAGGCAACAAAGGAGTGGCTCAAGAAGAAGCACATTAAGGTCCTGGATTGGCCTAGCCCTAGCCAGTCTCCAGACCTTAATCCCATAGAAAATCTGTGGAGGGAGCTGAAGGTTCGAGCTGCCAAACATCAGCCTTGAAACCTTAATGACTTGGAGAGGATCTGCAAAGAGAAGTGGGACAAAATCCCTCTTGAGATGTATGCAAACCTGGTGGTCAACTATAAGAAATGTCTGACATCTATGACTGCAACAAGGGTTTTGCCACCAAGTACTATGTCGTGTTTTGCAAAGGGGTCAAATACTTATTTCACTCATTAGAATGCAAATCAATTTATAACTTTTTTGAAATGCGTTTTACTGTCTCTCACGGTTAAAATAAACCTATTATTAAAATTATAGACTGATCATTTCTTTATCAGTGGGCAGACATACAAAATCAGCAGGGGATCAGAAAGTTTTTCCCTTACTGTACTTTATGGGAAGAAAAGTATTTGAGATCTTTTAATATATAATTTCTTTGTCCAGATTTATTTGGAGGTATTTACAGCATGGAATTAAGTTCATTTTAACTTCATACCTGTGGAATTTTGTAGATGCCCCCAAAAGTAGAAATATGATCAAAGAGTTCAGATTCTGTCTCTTCCTGCCAACAAGTTCTTTTGCCTTCCACATCTGTAGTTTGGGATGTTCTCCTGCCTATAGACAGGAAGTCCATCATGGCCTCATAGGTTATTCTTGCATTAAAGAAGTTATCATAGATGTTGTAGCCCAGGGTGATATTGGATAAGAACCTTGGGCTCTGTTGATTTCATGAACAGCCAAGAAGAATGGCAGGATATGACAGTAAAGTGGGAAGCTGGAAAAATACTGATTATCCGACAGAGAATGTGGGTGAAAGGGAGGTTTTCCTGCTTACTAGACAACCCTTAAAATTAGAATGGCCAGACATCCTGTTCTCAACTTTGCACATGATATATTGCAAACTGTTTATCACATGGTGTATTGAAAACTGCTTGACACTTGAAATATTGCTAAAAGCATTCCTATGTTAAAAGAGGAACTATAGATTATAACCATGTCTAGTAACTTTCCTATGTTAGAATAAGGAACTATAGAATGTAACCATGTATGGAATATGTCTTGATCAGGAAATAACTGATGTATTCCGGGTTATAAAAATGATCATCTACGCCCAGTCGGGTGTTCAGATTTTTTTTAGCTGTGTACAGCTCTCTGAACCTGCGCAATAAACTTCCCTTTCCTTGAAAGAGCTGACTCAAGTCTCTCACTTCTACAACAACAGAACATTGTCAACTCACTGCAAAATAGCAGCCTCTCTCTACAGCGATTCTAGGTGGCCCACAAACATAGTCAAAAACATATTCTTCCCCCATTCAGGTTCAAGACCAAACATCTAACAGATCAATGCTCCCACCCTAGATCAATGCATGTGGGAAGATGCATGTATTCACAGTTGTCAAGAATGGTAAAAAATAGAGCATTACCAGGTGTGCCTAAAGTATGCATTATAATTATATTATTTCTTTTTATTAGACCACCCAGATAGTGACAAATGGCTGTACTCAAGTGCAGGATTCATTCTTGAGCAGGTGGAGATGGTCCACTCTTCAAAAAGCCATCCGTATATCCAGAGATTGTTTTGCTGCAGACTGTTGATGGCTCTGGAGTGATTGCCCTATATTCAAAAATCTTTAATGTGATCCTCTTAGGTAAATCATTAATTTACCATGTAAGGTCTCTATTCCCGTTGAATTTGGTTTTTAAAAGGTATTCCTTTTATTTAAACCACAAGTAACATGGAAGCCTAAAAAAGCATACAAAATAGGTAAAAGGCATAGGTTGGAAAGAAAAGGAAGAGAGGGAGGAAGGAAGGATAGAGTACAGAACCCCATGCTTTCATTTCTTGGCCAAAGGCCCTGAAGCCTGTCCTCGACAGGAAAACCACCTAAAGATAGGGTCAGTCAGGTTTCCAAGAGGGCAAGGATTGACTTACATTGGAGCTTATCATTCATAATTCAAAAGGAAGGAAGAAAAATTCCATGGAACACAAAATAAGAGTTTAATTCCATGCTATTTTGTCATATTTAAAATAAACTAGTTATGAAAGTAAAGAATAAAGCTAGTAGCCCTCCTTAATTTTCATCATTAGTTGCTCCTTTGTGTTCATGTCAGGTCTCAGCATAATAATGTAGCATTTGGGGATAAAGATGCAGCCCAGCAAGCCCAAGCTGGAAGCCAGGATGGAGAAAATTTGCACAGCCACCATGTATTTCCCTTTAGTGCTCAGGTATGTGGGGACAAAGGAGATCCAAACACTGCAGAAGACCAGCATGCTGAAGGTGATCCACTTGGCTTCATTGAAGGTCCCTGGCAGCTTTCGGGCCAAGAAAGCCACCAAGAAGCAGGTGGAAGCCAGAAAGCCCATGTAGCCAAGGGCGATGTAGAACATGATGACGGAGCCTTCATTACATTGCATAAGAATCTGTCCTGGTTGGGAATGCAGGTCAGAGTCAGGAAATGGGGGAGAGCTTCCCAGCCACGTGATGCAGATGCCCACTTGAACACCAGAGCAAGAAAAAACAATTGAATTGGCCAGACTCTTCCCAAGCCATTTCCTCATTCGACTCCCTGGCTTTTTAGCCAGGAAAGCCACCACCACCATGACAGTCTTGGCCAGCAAGGAAGAGACAGCAACAGAAAAAACAATGCTGAAAGTGGCTTGTCGGAGAAAACAGGTCAATTTGTTGGGCTGGCCAATGAATAGAAGAGAGGTCAAGACGGAAAGGAGGAGGGAAACCAGGAAAATGTAGGTGAGGTCCCGGTTGTTGGCTTTGACTATAGGAGTCTCTTGGTATTTAATAAAGATTCCCAGAACAAAGGAAGTGGTTAGGGACAAAGCAAGGGCAAAGGAAGCCAGGAGCAGTCCCAATATTTCTTTGTAAGACAAGAAGCTTATAGTTTTGGGGACACACCGATCTCGCTTTTTATTTGAATGCTGGTCATCTGGACACCTGCTGCAATGTGCTGCATCTGAAAAACATTTGCTAGCATGTATCTGTTTCTACAGCTGTGGGATCATTACAGATGCAGCTCAGATCTATTAATACTACAATACATAAAATGTTTTTGAAAGTAATGGGGTGAGAGAAGATATTGGGAGAGGTGGAGAACCACTTTTTTAAAGGCTGATGACCAATAACATCATGAACTCTCACAAGACTTGCTTCCTTTCCTGAAACAAGAGCCGAGGTGGCGCAGCAGTTAGGGTGCAGTACTGCAGGCCACTTTAGCTGACTGTGTTCAGCAGGTCAGCGGTTCAAATCTCACCAGCTCAAGGTTGACTCAGCCTTCCATCCTTCCGGGGTAGGTAAAATGAGGACCCAGACTGTTGGGGGCAATGTAAATATATATATACATTGCTTACTGGTGTACACCGCTTAGAGAGTGCTTGCACTTAAAGCGGTATATAAGTCTCATAAATAAATAAATAAACCAGTCATGAATATCAAGATTCAAGAGACTCCAGCAACTTTATTCATTTTAATGGCCACACAATCACCAACAATCATTTGGTGATTGTTCCCAACCCTTGAAAAGTTTGTGGACCCTTTCAAAAATTTCAGTTTTATTTGTGTTATGGCACTAGGCAGAGAACTGCTAGAATTAGGTCTAATAGTGTGAAAGAAGACACCTGTAAGTAATGTTTGACAGAAAAGCAAGAGTGAATTTTGATTGCATCCAGAGCCACCTACCTTTTTGCACAGAGAATGTTCCTTCCGTACACAGAGAACAGTCGTAACAGCAAACTGGTGCTCCTTCTCTCATGAGCTTGACATGTCCTGGGGAACAACTTTCTGTACATCTAGATGAAGGTACTGTCTAAGCATAAAAGTAAAGATTAGTTAGAGTGATATATGAATTAGAAAGGTTTATTTCAATGAACTAAATATTGTAAATACAACCAAGGAGTAATGGTATAGCAGTTATTTTTTTTAACAAAATTTTATTAAATTTATATAGGTAAAGAAAAATAGGAACAATACAGGTATGGTAAAGGGAGGGGTAAAAGGAAAGGGGGAGGGAAAGGAAATAAGGAATTAGGGTAAAGTAAGGATAGGTACAATCACATATTTCAACAAACAAGCAACCGTCTGGATCATAATAATGAGTAAATATCATATTCAACCATTTTTAACAAAGCTTAAACTGTAACATATTAAAAACAATTAGGAAACAAATACGTTGATCTATTAAGTAAACACTACTAATAAAATCTAAAAAAAAATAATCCTAACAATCAAAAGTAACAAATGAAAATCAGAAAATCAGGAAAAGTAATCATATCATCAAAATGTTAGTTAGAACTTGATTAAAAATCAGTCATCTATTCTAAAATATTGAATCCTTCAAGTTCTAATGTGTCTCTAACCATTGATAAAATTTTTCCCAAGTTCTAAAATAAATTGAATCATCTTTTTCTTTCATTTCTAATGTTAGTCTATCCATTTCTGCACAGTCTAAAATTTTGGTAATAATAATCTGGTCAGATGTTAAATTCTCATTTTTCCAAAATTGGACAAATACTATCCTTGCAGCAGTTAAAACATGCAGTATCAAGTAGTCATTCTCATTGCCATAATTAGGTCTTAATATTCCTAACAAAAACAATTCTGGTTTAAATTCTATTTGTAGTTTCATCATCTTTTCCAACCATCTATGGATCTTAGTCCAATATTTCTTACCGATAGGGCATGTCTACCAGGCATGGTAATAAGTGCCTGACTGTTGCTTACATTTCCAGCAAATATCCGAAACATTTTTAAACATTTTCGCTAAGTGAACATCTATAAAATATCTTATATAAGTTTTCTTTCTATGCTACCACTTTTGTAAGCTTAATATTTTTATCCCAAAGTTTTTGCCAGTCTTCCAAATCTATAGAATATCCAAAGATCTTTGCCCATACTATCATTGTTTCTTTCACTTGTTCTTCTTCCATCTTCCAGTTTAAAAGAAATTTATAGTTTTCTAATCAAATTCTCATCTGTTAAATTTGTTAAAATTTTATCCAATGGGGGTCTGTTCTTTGTAAAAACCTGTCGATTTTATATCTTTTTTGTATCTTGTTTGAATTTACAAGTAGGACCACCATGTCAAGTCAATACCTTGTAGTTGTAAAGTTTGCCTGTCCTTAAGTTTTCCCTCTTTGTCTAAAATGTCTTTATAAGCAGTTATTAATGGGGACCCCCCATCTTCCTTCCTTTCTAATTGCTGGAAATACCATCTAAAAGGACTCTGCACATGAGTGGCAAATGAAAGATAATTCTCTTTATCAAACTCTAATGTCAGTCCTGAAACACTCTCTTGGTTTTATTCCCCATTCAGAAGAAAAGTGGTTCCGTTGCAATAGATGTTTCTTCCGAGGGCATGTATGGGAATGCTATATTTCATATTATTGCTATATCTTTCTTTCTCTTTCTTTCTTTCTTTCTTTCTTTCTTTCTTTCTTTCTTTCTTTCTTTCTTTCTTTCTTTCTTTCTTTCTTTCTATATTTTATTGATTTTTTAACACAATCACCTTAATATTTGGTAAACAGCATGTTGTCTGGGTTTATATTTTTAAAAAATCATTAACAATTAGTTTCAATAATTTTATATTCCACATTTTTCTAATATTTCTGCAAATAATAACCACATCAATATAAAGCTTCTTTTCTAACTGATCATCCTTCGTCATAGATCCTGTTTACAAAAATCTTGTTTAAGTTTGTTTTCCTCACAATATACAAAGCATTCTTATTGGTAGAGATTTTCTCAAAGATAATTACACTTAAGTATTTAAGTCTTTTTCCTCATATAGGCCATCCCAACACTTTTACATTTCTCATATCTTAAAAAAAAAAAGAAAAAAAAAGAAATAAGAAAATAATATACTACTTAAAATACATGTCCCTCTTAGGCTAATGTACATTTATATGTACATTATATCTTCTTTTTAACCATATTCAAACATATGTTTAATCTTGAAATGTTCCATTTAATATATCTAATTATCTAACCTTTTAGATTTATTCAAAACATTTTTATCCATTGAAGTTTTCTCAAAATCAATTACACTTAAGTATCTAAGACATTCCCTTTATATAAACCATCCCAACATTTTTATATTTCTCATGTCAAAAAACAAAAGAAAAAAGAAAGAAAAAATACTATGTTACTTGAAGGCCTCATCCTTCTTAAACTAAAATTCATTTATATCCAAAATCTTTCTATTTTTTTAGCCATATTCCAACAGAATATTCCCTCTGATAGGTCCCATTGTCTAATTTCTTAATTCTCACTTTAGCCTTTTTTTTCTGCCAAACATCTTTCCTGATCAATATGCTCTACTGAATCAAAGATTCTTCCCATAATCTTATAGATGTTGTAAGTACAAAAGGCAAATCAAATAAGATGTTTTTATGGGAAGGTTTTGCCCATTCATATTCATTGAAAATCTTTTCCTTTCTTTCTCTCTTAATTTCTCTTATCATTTTTTGTCTATCAAGTTCTTGTGGTTCTTCTGACAGCTCTGCAATCCATTTTGTCTAATCTTTTTTCTTGTCCTCAGACTTATTTTGTGATCCTATAGTATGAGTTATCTTTTCCATATCCAATATTTTCTGCAAGATTTTTCCACCTCATTCTTCCTTCTATTGTTTGATTCCATCTTTAAATCTCTTTCCTCTAGTTTATATTCAGATGTCGGTTTTATCTGCTCATTCTCAATTTTTATTTTTTGAGAGTTTTTTGTTGTTGTAAAGTTAAATTGGAGATGTATTCATTATATTTTCAAAGTTATTTTTAATTTCCTCGTGGTTTCAGATCAATATTGTTTGAATTATTTGCAACATAGAATACATCTCCTCCTGGAAAGTATTTGTTTTTTCTTGGTATATTCTTTCTGCAGATCTCTGATTTTCCATGATAGCCAAAAATCAGGATTTTTCTTTCTCTGCAAACAGCTTTAGAGTCACAATTGAGTAGGTATTTATAATCCAGAAAGGTCAATTTTTTCCCCTAAAGTTTATAATTCTCACTTTGTAGATAGCCCAAAATGCTTTCTTTTTTTTCACAGCTGTTCTGTAATTAAGACATTGAAAGTCACCAAACCAAGTTATGTTTTTCTGGGCTTTGCCAGTTCCTATATTGGACCAACTACTGTTGTATATTTTCATCCACCACTGGATGTCAGCACCAGTTCATTTTTTTAGTTTTCAAAATAAACAATTGCTTTTTTCTGTTTTCATGATTTAAAAAGAAAATCTTAACAAATTCCACCAATTTCAAACTTATCTAGGTTTAGATCTTATATTCATTTCATTTCAATATATTTCTATCCCCCATAAAAAGTTTAATTCACCGCTTCCATCTGTAGGAGGGTGGGGCAAAAATCCCCCTCCTTTTCACTTTCAGAGGCTTTTTGCTTCTTGGGGTTTTTTTCCTCCAGGAATCAATTATCAAGTAGAAGAGAGAAAATCAACGTTCTTACCCAGTTCCAATCACGCTGTTTACAGTCAGCTTAAAATAGTGCTTTTGGGCTTCGGCTGCTTATAGCTTGGGCTAGGCTCTGAAGTTAACCTAGCCTTTCTCCTGCTAGTTTCTGGAGGGCTTTCCCTGAATGACCAGATTGACTGCCATCTGTCCACGGTTGGCAGGGCTTCCCTCCTTCTTTGTCGCCTCTCTGGGGCAACTTTAGGCCCATTTAAGGTCCCCAAACAGAAATAAATAGGCCGTAGGTGCGGAGCCCCAGGATCCCTCAGCTACTTGAGCTACTGCGCAAAACCGGAAGCCCAAAACCTGGTTTTGTTTGTTGCTGCTAAGGTTGCTATGTTTCTATCCTATGACTGACTTTTTTTTCAATTGCTCTCTTTCCTCTGTCCTTGCCTCAGCTCCTACCAACCTAGTATTTTGAAAGGATGCAAATATGAGTAGATAAATAGGTACCGCCATTTCTATAACAACAATCTTATCTAATCAGCAAAATCCAAAGTCAAAATGAGAATTATTTCTGAGCTGAAAAGTTTGCATCAGTGCAGGTAAATGGAGGAGCAAAACCAAAAAATATCAGCTACCTTGTTAAATGATCTTGGCCAGACAATGGCACTCTGATTGATGGAGACCTTGACTTTGGAAATGGCTTCTCTTTCTGCACTCCCAACTTTCAACCCAGCAGAAGACTTGTTGGGAAACATTCTCCAGTGCATGATATCAAAGTCAGCAAAGGGAATCCCATTTTCATCCAAATAAACTCCATCGCTGGAAAGATTTTGAAGCTGAAAGTTTCTCATGAACCAGTGAAGCTGCAAACATACAGGAAAGTGTACATGCAGCTTAGACATTACAATTTGAGCCTTTATTTTATTTTTTATGGTTATTATTCTGGAGTGGAAATGCTCTGAATAATTCATCCTCTTCAGCTCAGTACTTCTGTCTGACAGATGATGATTCAGTATTTTATGGAAAATTTCTCTCCCTCCTTCTCTAGGAAACAGCAGATATTTTTCAGATACATCTTCCACTTTCTTGAAGGAATCATTATATTGCCCTATCAATCCATGTTCTTCATCACAATTTTGAAAAATAAAAATACATAAAGCTGAAATTTCAAATATATATTTTTCCTTGTGATACTGAATGAGACTTTCTTAATTTCTTATGTCTTTTTTTTTTTTAAGAAAAATCCTGGGTGTTTGTATATTACTCAGACAACATGAACGCTGTTTCCTGCTGTGTAAAAAAGTTCCTGTCTGGAGAATCCTTGCTGGATCCCCATTGCAGCTCTCCCCAGGCCTTCAGATAGCACAGCTGCTAGTATAACACCAGCAGCTGGATGTGAAGAAAGAACAATTATATGAAAGCTCTAGAACAGGAGTGTCAAACTGCTGGCCTGTGGGCCATATGGCGATTGCACCCACCACAGCTCTGGCAATGAAAAAAAAAACATTGTAATATGTCACAACATGTCACGTGATGTGCTGAGTTGGACACCCATGCTGTAGATAGAATATAGACATTGGAAGAAAATAGGAAGGCTGACATGATACTCAAGAGAAGGGATTGAGTTGCTAGTGGTTGAGTTCAGACATGTCTCCATCACCTTCAGGTGGTCTAACCAGCCAGAGTTTAACTCCGAGTGAAGTTGTGACTTTATCTGACAGATGCTGAGAATATCTCTCACAGCAACCCTACAAGGGTTCCACCTGTTCCTTCTTTTTCAGGGAAGACCTGGTTACTCAAAACGGGGTCAATAATCAGCTACCAGCAGATGTAATAAGAGCAGAGAAGTGATTATGATTCATTGCTTTTATAACACAAGTTTTGGGAAAACCCCAAAATGGAGAAGAAGTTTTTAACAAGGCCAAGGTGAAGATCAAGTTAGAAAGGCTTTGCTTTGGGCTATGAAAGGGAGAAAGGTTGTGTAGTGAAATTCAAAAATTAGCTACTGAGGTATCTCCACTATTCCAGGAGATGTGTGGATGACCTTTTTATTACCACAGAAGATGCTTTGAACAGATATTAATTTACCTTGTTGCTGTGCACAGGATCTTCTAAGAAGGTAAAACCACTTTTAATCCAGAACATAACTAAATTTGGTTGTTTTCTTGCCGATGTTTCAATACATAAACTAGGTAAAATCATTGATACTGAGCACAGATTATATTGCCTAGTTCGGGTAATGAAACATCTGCAGGAAAACAACCAAGCTCAACAGAGCTCTCATTTCAACCCTGAGGTACAAATATTCACCTTTATTGGCCAAGACTAACTCCTTGGCTTGAAAACAAAGCAAAACCAGTATAGGACTCACAGGAGACGATTGAGAGGACTGTTGGAGAATCCTGATGCTTATTTAATTTGGAAATTGTTACTATATAGCTGTTTCTGTCATTGGTAGCATCCCAAACCAGTTCTGATAGTGTAACATGGAAGATTTATCCTCATAATCTCTCTCATACTCACTCTTACATGCTACAAACTGGGCTGTTTGGATAACTCACTTCTCCTTATGTCTAACTTAATATTGAGGAATTGAAAGGGGAGCATCCGTGGAACTTTAAAGGAGAAATCTCACCTGCCATGGTTGCACAATATGAGGTGACTGATGGCCTCTAACCTGCACCCTCCCCTTACTCAGTTGGGAGGAAGAGGCAACACTGAGGATCCAGGCCACAGCTTGGATTGCATCGGAAATACTGGCGCCGTCATTCAGCAGGTATCTTTTAACCATAGCACGGGGTGGGTTCTCCTGGATCTCTTTTTCTGTGCACCTTTCCCAAACTTTCTTAGACAACACAGGCCTTGAAAAGGAACACTGGAATGCTTTCTTTACAAACTGTTTGTCAGTAGAGGAATATAAATTAAAGTAATAAGACTCTGTCTTTCTCTTTGTCTTGGTGAGGAAGGAAAACAAAGCATGTTTACTTTGGAGATCAAGCACACGGTAAAAGAGTCTGATACTGAAATCAGACCAAGTTGTTGCAATCCACACTTTTCCCCCAATGAAGGTTTTATTCTTTTCATGAATATGTATTAATGCAAATAGTATGGCGACGGCATGAAAATCCAGTTGACAAACTATAATTTTCACTTGATTATTGATTAAAAAAAGGACTACTTTCTTTTCGTCTTGCTTGGACATTTGTCCAAAACTAGTATCTATATTCGATGCTGAGATGGTTTCTGAGAGGACAATGCAAATCCCACTTTTTACAGCTAGAGTTTCCAAGCTTCCTTTAAAGATCTCTCCTCTTTCATTGTGCTGAGAAAGGAGCCCAATCCAGGTCCATGGGAAATGCAGGAGTAGCTTGACAATTGCTGAGTAAGGAGGATCTTGTTTCGGGGTCATCCGGTAGAAAAAAGGAAAATAATTATTTTGCTCAGGAATGTGGCTGATAACACCGTAGTTGATCTAAGAAGAAAGAGAAAATTGTGGTAGCTTGTTTTTTTATGATAAAGTCACATGTTTAATTGTAAGGATCTTTCCCCACTGTTGATGCTTTTGCAATAGGCATTTGAGCAGAATGCAGAATACAGCAAAACCGAGTAGGAAGGTACTTGGAGTTCTTCTAGTCCAACTCCCTGTTTAAACAAGATACCGTATACTATTCTGAATAAATGGTTCTCCAATCTCTTCTTAAAAACCTCCAGTGATGGAGCACTTATAACTTCTGAAGGCAAATTGTTCCACTGATTAATTGTTCTCACTGACAGGAAGTTTCTCCTTAGTTTTAGGTTGACTCTCTCCTTGATAAATTTCCATCCATTACTTCTTGTCCTCCTTCTGGTGCTTCGTAGAATACGTTGAATATGACAACCCCATATATATTAGAACACTGCTATCATGTCACCCTAGTCCTTCTCTTCGTTAGACTAGATATACCCAGTTCCTGCAACAGTTCTTCATATGTTTTACCCTGCAATCCCCTAATCATGATTGTAGCTCTTATCTGCTTTATAGGGGGGGAATAGGGATATGAGTCCAGCTAGTCATAACAATAATAACTTAGCTGTGGGAACTCAAGGACATTGGGCCTAGAGCTGATAATGTTTTGGTGGGTTGGAGAGCTGGGGAGAAAGCCCGCGCTTCAAGCTAATTGGAGAATGTGATTTATGAATGTTTTTTGTAGTATGGAATTGTACTTTGTTACTTTGTATCCAGGGGAGGGAAATTTAGTTTTTGGTTTCAACTACATATGTAGTGCCGATACGTTGTTTCTCAAATAAAAGATTCTTTAAGGTAAACAATGCCTTGAAGTTCTTTTGAAGAGTTTCATCTGTCGAAACCATGATGATTATATTATTGTCCTTATGTCATTGATTTCAAATATTTGCTAATAAACTGTTTTATTGGTTGTCAATGATTAGACTCAGACATCTGAAATTCAGAAACCTATTTAATAACCTTTAATCCAAGAACACAAGATAATTGGCATTGTGGCAAGCATCAGTTCATCATGGAAGAGAATAAACTCATCATGACATTCTTTGTGCTGTCATACAGACTAGAGCAGGGGTCAGCAACCTGCAACAGTGAAAGAGCCACTTGGATCCATTTCCCTCACAAAAAAAAAATCCTGGGAGCCGCAAAATGTGCGCGCGCACACGCGCGCGCACGCGCATGCGCACAGAACACAGGGCTTGATTGAAGAGAGGAGCTTAAGGCGAAAACGTGCGCCTGCCCTGCCCCCCATCCAGCTCTGGTATGAACGGCTCTGCAGTCCTGGCTTCTCTTCCCTTCGGAAAAGACTGCTCTCCCCTCACCCCGCGCTCTCCCTCTCTGGGACTTTCTTCTTGCTGCCTTTTGGCGCGAAGGTTCCCAGGGAGCGGAGGAGGAAGCCGATGGGGAGAAAGAGCTGCTGCAGTGAATGTTCTGAGGCAGCAGAAGACGGTCGCTCGGGCTCGCCTATCTCAGCCTGCTGCAGGAGGCTGGAGTTGAGGCTTCTGGTTTGCTCTGGGAGGGGTGCTTGGAAAAGGGAGGATGGGAAGCGGAAAGTGGGAGAAAGGACGCCTTCCAGCTCTCTGGGGTTCTTTCGCTGGGAGGTGAGGAAGCAGCAGTTCTGCTCCGTGGGAGGTGGGAGCAGGCAGCCTCTCCTTCAAACTTTGCCAAGTGACTCCAGGAGCGAAGCGAGCTACGAGTCCTAGGAATGTCAACTTTGCGAAAGAGGGAGGCGATGGTGGGATTAAAATAAAACGGGGGGGGGGAGGTTGAGGAAACCCAGCAGATGCTTACATCAGAGGGCCAGCAAGAAAGGCAGGGAGAGGAAGAAAGCTTTCGGGGCTTGTGCACAGACATAGCGGACTCTTTCTCGTCTCCTGCCCTTGCTGCATCTCCTGTGGAGATCATTTGCAGCTCTCTGTGTCTCTGCAGCTTGCTTCTTGAAGCGATTTCAATCAGCCCCATTCATTGCCAAGAATCCCCATGGAAGTCAATGGAGGTCTGCGGCGAATCAAAAAGCCAGCTGCAGTACCTCCACGTCCGTTGATTTGACCGGCTCAGCGGCCCGGGGACGAGCAGGAACCGATGCCCCCACTGCCCGCCGGGCTTGCTGCCTGGCCTGGGGAAACACAAGGCAGGCTTAGCGCCCCGGGGACGGCCAAAACCCAATGCCCCGGTCGGCCGCACTGCCGCCCAGCCCGGGGAGACGCGAGGCAGGCTCAGCGCCCCGGGGACGGCCAAAATCCAAGGCCCCTGCCGGCCGCCACTGCCGCCCAGCCCGGGGAGACACGAGGCAGGCTCAGCGCCCCGGGGACGGCTACAAACAAATGTCCCCGCCACTTGCTGCCTGGCCCAGGAAAAAACAAGGCTGGCTCAGCGGCCCGGGGACAGCTACAAACCAATGCCCCTGCCGCCTGCCGCACGGCCCGGGAAGATGCAAGGCTGGCTCAGTGGCCCGGGGACGGCCAAAACCCAATGCCCCTGCCGGCCGCCACTGCCGCCCAGCCCGGGGAGACGCGAGGCAGGCTCAGCGCCCCGGGGACGGCCAAAATCCAATGCCCCTGCCGGCCGCCACTGCCGCCCAGCCCGGGGAGACGCGAGGCAGGCTCAGCGCCCCGGGGACGGCTACAAACAAATGTCCCCGCCACTTGCTGCCTGGCCCGGGAAAAAACAAGGCTGGCTCAGCGGCCCGGGGACGGCTACAAACCAATGCCCCCGCTGCCTGCCGCACGGCCCGGGAAGATGCAAGGCTGGCTCAGTGGCCCGGGGACGGCCAAAACCCAATGCCCCTGCCGGCCGCCACTGCCGCCCAGCCCGGGAAGATGCGAGGCTTGCTCAGCGGCCTGGGGATGGCTACAAACCAATGCCCCCGCCGCCTGCCGCACGGCCAGGGAAGATGCGAGGCTGGCTCAGCGCCCTGGGGACGGCCAAAAACCAATGCCCCTGCCGGCTGCCACTGCCGCCCAGCCCGGGGAGGCGCGAGGCAGGCTCAGCGCCCCGGGGACGGCCAGAAACCAATATCCCCGCCATCTGCCGCCCGGGGAGACACGAGGCCGGCTCAGCGGCCCGGGGACGGCTACAAACCAATGCCCCGCCGCCTGCCGCACGGCCCGGGAAGATGCGAGTCTGGCTCAGCGCCCCGGGGACAGCCAAAAACCAATGCCCCTGCCGGCCGCCACTGCCGCCCAGCCCGGGGAGGCGCGAGGCAGGCTCAGCGCCCCGGGGACGGCCAGAAACCAATATCCCCGCCGTCTGCCGCCCGGGGAGACACGAGGCCGGCTCAGCGGCCCGGGGACAGCTACAAACCAATGCCCCTGCCGCCCAGCTCGGGAAGATGCGAGGTCAGCTCAGCGGCCCGGGGACGGCCAAAAACCAATGCCTCTGCCGGCCGCCACTGCCGCCCAGCCCGGGAAGACGCGAGGCTGGCTCAGCGGCCCGGGGAGGGGCAGGAACCGATGCCCCCGCCGGCTGCTGCCCCCGCTGGGCCTACCTCCTGGCCCGGGGAAGGGCAGGAACCAATGCCCCTGCCGGCCGCTGGCCCCGCCAGGCCTGCTGCCCAGCCCAGGGAGACACGAGGCCGGCTCGGCTGCCCCTCCGCCTGGTGCAGGTAAGCCCCCCCCCTCCTCCCCACTCACCCTCCATCTCCGGGTCTGCTCCTGCTTGGCCCACTAGGGCCGCAGCTTGCGGGAGGGCTGGCCCTTTCAACGGAGGCTCTGCTGGGCCGCTCCCAGCATCGATCCTGGGGCTGCCCCGCGCGGCTCTCTGGCCACATGCACCTCGGACTGGGCCAGCCCCGGAAAGGCCCTTCCTGGCCACCAGGGGGCAGGGCATCTGGCTGCAGGGCCAATCGGGAGCAAGGGGCACATCTGCATGTGTGTGAGAGAGAGAGAGATAGAGAGAAGGGAAGCACAAGTGCCTCTCTGTCTCTGTCTGTCTCTCTCTCTATGAAAATGGCGGAGAAGGCTCCGGAGCCGCAGGAGGTGGCTCAAAGAGCCGCATGCGGCTCCGGAGCCGCGGGTTGCCGACCCGTGGACTAGAGGAAGCATATTAAAACTGTTGTCTGGAAGTACCTTTAAGCTCTTCATGCTCTTCTCTGACTTTCCTTGACCCATTCACTTTTCCTTCATATCTTTCTTTTGCAATTTGAGCCTCAGATCCAAACCTTTTTTAAAAAAAACACCGAATTTCATAAGTATGAGGGTTGTTGAGCTGCTCTGTTTTCTGGAGTTCCATCACTCCAGGTTTTCAAGGAAAGGTTGATAGCCATTTGTCTGGAGTGGTTTGAGAATTCCTGTTCTGAGCAGGGGGTTGGATTAGAAGATTTCTACAGTCCCTTTTATATTTTTATAACTAAATTAAATATATTTTTATATTAACTCTGTTAATATATTTTTAATATTATTTGAGAAAAACTCAACTCACATTTTCATTTCCCAATGGCAGAAGTACATTATTATATACAGTCGTCATGGTTTTTTTCAACAAACACTCATTCTTGCAATTGGCTACATTCTACCTGTTCTCTTTCTCCAAACATTTCTGTGCCTTAACACTTCATCTGCCCCCGACTTTAATAAACTTTATAATAAGAGACCCAGGTTCTTATATATGTTGTTTTGATTCTTTGAAGAAACACTCCTTAGCAACAGAAAAGGAGAGATCCCAAAGCCAAGACATGGTTTCTAATGCATATTCTAGCAGGGAGACAAAAGAAATATAAATATACTTTATAAAAAGAAAAGTATTTGAGATATGTTAATATCTAATCTCTGTGCCAAGATTTATTTGGAAGTAACTACAGCATGGAATTAAATTCATTCTAGCTTCATACCTGGGATTTTTTTAAACAATATTTTATTAGGTTTTAAAAGGGTAGGGGAGGGATAGGGTCAATATGGGTATTGGGGTTCAGGGTAAGGTTCGGGAATGGGATTGGGATAAAGGAAGGTACAACAGTGGGGTTGCCCCCAGTAACAATTCCATGCTTTAGCAAGCAGACTATTGTACGGATACAAATATTCAATAACAATAATTAATATATGACATTATACCTGTGGGATTTTGTAGATGCCCAAGAAAGTAGAAACATGATCAAAGAGCTCAGATTCTGTCTCTTCAAGAACTGCCAGCAGTTTCTTTTGCCTTCCACATCTGTAGTTTGGGACGTTCTCCTGCCCTGTAGAGAGGAAGTCCATCATGGCCTCAGAGGTTATTCTTGCATTGAAGAAGTTCTCATAGATGTTGTAGCCCAGGGAGATGTTGGGTAAGAGCCTTGGGCTCTGGTTGATCTCATGAACAGCAAAGAAGAAGGGCAGGATATGGCAGAACATTGTCAAAGAACTGCAAAATAGCAGCATATCTATTCAACAATTTAATAATATTCAAAAAACATAATTAAAATATATTCTTTCCCCCACATGCAAGACCAACCACCCTCACAGTTCAACCCACCATCCTAGCCCAATGCATGAGAGAAGAGTCACGTATTCATAGCTCATCATAGTGCTAAAGATGGAGTGTTAACAGATGTACATGTAGTATGCATTATAATTATATCTTATTATTTCTTTCTATTAGACCACCCAGGTAGTGACAAATGGCTGTACTCCAGTGCAGGATTCACTCTTGAGCAGGTGGAGATGGTCCACTCCTCCAAAATTCATCAATAGATCCAGAGATTATTTTGCTGCTAACTGTTGATGACTTTGGAGTGATTACCCTATATTCAAAAATCTTTAATGTGATCTTCTGCAGCTAAACAATTAATTTGACACAGAAAGTCGCTATTCTCTTTAAATTTGGTTTTTAAAAGGTATTTCTTTTATTTAAATGAAAAGTAACATGGAAGCCTAAAAAAACATACAAAAAAGTAAAATGCAGTGGTTGGAAAGAAAGGGAAGGGAGGGAAGAAGGAAGGAAAGAAGGAAGGAAGGAAGGAAAGAAGGAAGGAAGGAAGGAAGGAAGGAAGGAAGGAAGGAAGGAAGGAAGGAAGGAAGGGAGGAAGGAAGGAAGGAAGGAAGGAGTGCAGCATAGGGAATGAAAGGAGATTTGGGGAGCCAGCTCAAGAGATCAGCTTCTGCTCCAAAGTATTGAATCACCTGATTGTCAGATTGATCTTTATATGCACATAGTCCTAGATGTATCACCACAACTGAGCCCAAAATTTCTGTTGCTAACTGAGACAGTTGTTAAGTGAATTTTGCCTCATTTTATGACCTTTCTTGCCAACATTGTTAAGTGAATCATTGCAGATGATAAATTAGTTACACAGTTGTTAAGTGAGTCTGGCTTCCCCATTGTCAGAAGGTGGCAAAAGGTGATCACCCAAGCCCAGGACACTGCAACCGTCATAAATATGAGTCAGCTGCCAAGCATCTGAATTTTGATCACAGGATCATGGGGATGCTGCAATGGTCATAAATGTGAAAACCAGTTAAAAGTCAGTTCTTGTGTAAGCAAATGAATTGTAGCAAGTTGAGGAATACCTGTAACTATAACTTATAAGTAAATAAATAAAAATAAATATTTGCTGACTTTCCACCGAACCGAAGTAATAATTTTGAGAACAACAGAATCCCACCAGGCAAGAATCACTTTGGAAGGGTGTTGTTAAATCTGCCCAGTGTTGAGGCTGACCCTTGATGAAAAACCTTAAAAGGAACTTTGCAAGTTCGGCTTTCATAAAGGCAGATTGGGAGAAGCAATATGAAGCTGCTTTTTCCAAGATGAGAAATTGGGAAAAAAATTACCTTCTCAACCTGTGAGCTGGAGGCTTGGAAAGAACATAAGGATAACTTCGAGAAAATATTTTAGATGTTATTCCAGTAATCAGGTAATCTCCTGGTTTGTAGTAATTAAACTCCTTCTCTTTTTCTATTGTCACCTTCAATGGACATTTTGTTTGCATTGTGGCATAGGGAAATTGGGGCAGAAGAACAAGCAGAAAGAGCTGCTTTTGCAGCAGCATCCTTTGTCATATATTGACGGAGATCCTTCCTGTAGTTCTCCCTCTGGGAAAGAGCTCAGAGCTCCCAAAACATAACTGCAGTGAAGATAGTCCAGTCTGGCTCCAGATCTGGAAGACAAACCTGCAATGGCAGACTAGTACAGCCCTTGCATGATTCTACCTCTTTTCTGATTAGTGCTGGAGGTAGTTTACAGTTATACAGTTATTGTAGATCCCATTTTGTTGTCAGATTGCTTTAAAACTGATGGTGCTGGTGATGGACATACCCTTAGAGTTTGTTCAAAATAAAATAAATCACCATGATTTTAATAATTAGAAGGGGAATTGGGAATGTGTATTGCTACATAGGTATGGCATGGAGGAAAAAGTTTAGCCTAACTCAGAGGCACAGTTCCAGTTTAAGGGAATAATTCAGTGAAGTTTGATTGCTTTTGACTTACTTTTTTCTTGCGATCCTAAATCTTATTTATTGTTCAATTTCTATAGCCATCCATCTCAGTCAATGACTCTAGCAGCTTACAGAGTTTTTATTTGTATCTTGTTTCAAGAATGTATCAAAACACTGTTCACATGAGCTGTTGTGCTTGAGGTAGAAAATATTCCTGGGCACCTCTTTATGGTCATAAATACATATTTTATTATTATCTCCATCTATCTTGGGGTGTTTATTGAGTCTTGCATACCAGAGATTTGGGACATTTCTAAAAGTTTCCTTCCTTGTGCAACGGATTCTCTTTTCCAATTTCATTTTAAAGAGAATGTGTGAGTGTTCACTGCTTAACCGACTTTTTCTTCATTCAGTCAAATATCATTTCATATCCTGCCAATCAGGGTTTCATGGTCAATCTATTGCTTTGCTTATATGTCTTTCCTCTGACTTTTCTCCTTACAACAGGAGCACCACACCACCATCTCCCATACAATCCTGTCCTCTTCATTCCAATGATCTGTGCAGTCTATTAAACAGTCTCACTCCTCCTCTGTTAGTCCCTCCCTCTGCTTTGGGATTGTCTTGGACCCATTTTTTGGTTAAAAAAGTTTTATTCATTTGTTATTGTTTTACACTTTCAGACCTTGGTATGTCTGTCTAATGACATATGAAAGGGGTGGACCATCAATAGCATGGTTGCAATCATCAACTTTTCAAAACTCCACGTGAATGCCCCCTGATTACAAGGTGGATTAGTGGGTTGTTCAGGATGGACAACTCTGGTACGGAAAGTGTTTCCCCGGGACCCCTGATTGCTATTCTATATTTTTCTAAGTCAGAGGCGAGTTAAAGGATTGGCTTTGCCTCAGCATGATATCCGAATGATCTCAGCTTTGGAGTAACCCTAGGAGGAATGTGTCATTCTTTCAATGCAATTCTTGTCAGGGGACAAAATGTCAGATGTTGATGGGCCACCATAGCATTGCAAAGTGTAAGGCATTTAAAAAGGTAGCTGATCACTTCTCAAACCTAGACGTTGTGGTTGAGATGCAAACATGTGCAAGCTATCTGCTATTGATTTGGCCTCCTCAGTAGCCAATATTGTATATAATGCCAATGGAGAGAAAAGAATCTGTCAGCATAGAAGAAGATGCCCCTTATATATATATACTTTGATATAGAGGGTATAGTTAACAGAAAAGCTAAAAGATCTATATTTGGTTGCATTCAAAACTTTTCCTTTTAGTATTAATGGATAAACCATTGGGGAAAAAAAAGCTATGGAAGACTAGTTCAGTACAAGATCTCAGTAGTGAGATTACTGTACATACAAAGATGGAAAGATTCTATACTATCCACTAAGAAGGAATAACTGGTGAATTTGACAGATATAGCTGATAAATTAACTTTGATTAGAGAAAGGACATTATCTACATGTACTGATGATTAGAACCGTCTTATTCATTACTTGCATAACAATAAATTAACTTGTGATTTATGGTTTTGATAATTAGATAGGATGGATTACAGAAAGAAGAGTAATATGATGTAACTTTACAGAGAAAGGCTAAAATATATTTGTACTTTAATAAAGTATCTACTTTATCAAATGCCTTACTGAAGTCCAAGTAAATTATATCCACAGCATTCCTTTGATCCACCAATTTTGTCACTGGGTCAAAGAATGCAATAATATTTGTCTGGCATGATTTGTTTTTGACAAACCCATGTTGGCTTTTAGTAATGACTTTGTTTGCCTCTAGGTGTTTGGTGATTCGTTGTTTGATTATCTTTTCCAAGATCTTCCCAGGTATTGAGGTCAGGCTGATAGGTCTGTAATTTCCTGGATCCATTTTTTTTCCTTTTTTGAGGATGGGAACTACATCAGCTCTTTTTCAGTCCTCTGGTAGTTCCCCAGTGCTCCAGGATCTTTGAAAAATATAGTTCAGTGGTTCTGAGATCACATCTGCCAGTTCCTTGAGAACCTTGGGGTGTAATCCATCTGGTCCTGGCAATTTGAACTCGTCTAGGCTGGACAGGTGGTCTCTTACCATTTTCTTGCCTATCTTAACTTGTGTTGTAGGTTGTAGTCTACTTTATCAAATGCCTTACTGAAATCTTACTTAAAACTTGCAAGTGTATTCAAGAAGTTTCAGAATACTCTTTCTATGGTTTAGTTGCTGAAAAAGTTAGTTCTCACATATAAAAAGAAATGTCCTTGATTCAGAAGAAAAACTCAGAAGGGTTTTTCCATTGGTGGAAAAGAGGCTTACACTGCCATGCTAAAATATCCTTATTTACAAGCCAAGAATGAAGTCTAAAAAGCCAAGAAATACTACCAGATATAGAAACATAAAAAGATGGAAATTGGGCGTAAGCAGGAGACCACTTCAAAAAGCTGCTGCATAAATAGTGTTTTACCCTGAAAAGTACCTAATGATGAATTAAAATATTGGGTGTGAACATCTCAGATAACCTGGGATAACCCCAAAGCATCTATCACAATCACTTTCCTACTTCCCTTTTCAACATCAGTTACTCCTTTGTACTGAGGTCTGGTCTCATACAATGATGTAACACTTTTTTATGTGTGCTTTTTAAGGAACATCAAATAGCAAATAATAATCCTGACCTTTGAGGACAGACACACCAAAAGTTAATTTCTATTTTATTTTGACATCATATGTTCTTTGGTATTCAGATCAGGTCTTAAAAAAATAATGTAGCACTTGGGAATGAAGATGAAGCCCAACAGCCCAGTAATGGAGGCCAAGATGGAGAAGACCTGCACAGCCATCATGTACTTCCCCCTGGTGCTCAGGTAGGTGGGCATGAAGGACACCCAGACATTGCAAAAGACCAGCATGCTGAAGGTGATCAGGTTGGCTTCGTTGAAGGCCCCAGGGAGATTCCTAGCCAGGAAAGCCACTGTGAAGCAGATGGCAGCCAGAAAGCCATGTAACCAAGGGCAGAGTAAAACATGGTGACAGATCCTTCATTGCACTGCAAAATAATCTCTCCATATTGGGAATGAATGTCAGACTCAGGGAATGGGGGAGAAGTACCCAACCAGATGCTACAGATGGCAACTTGGACAGCAGAGCAAGAAAAGATGATGGAATTGACCAAGCTTTTCCCCAGCCATTTCTGAATATTATTCCCTGGTTTAATGGCCAAGAAGGCTAAAACTACTGTGATTGTTTTAGCTAAGATTGAAGAAATGGCAACTGAGAAGATGATACTGAAGGCTGTTTGTCAGAGAAGGCAGGTTTGTTTGTTTGGCCCACCAATGAAGAGGAAGGAGGTCAAAAAGGAAAGCAGGAGGGAGATGAGTATGTAGGAGAGGTCCCGATTGTTGGCTTTGATGATTAGAGTTTCCAGGAATTTAATGAAGATTCCCAAAACAAAGCCTGTGATTAAAAACATAAATAAGGCAATAGAAACCAGGAT